ATAGCCGCAGCCTTCAGACGGCGGCTGCCTTCATATAGCAGCAGCCTTCAGACGGCGGCTGCCTTCATATGGCCGCAGCCTTCAGACGGCGGCTGCCTTCATATAGCCGCAGCCTTCAGACGGCGGCTGCCTTCATATGGCCGCAGCCTTCAGACGGCGGCTGCCTTCAGACGGCGGCAGCCATCAGACGCAGCCATGATGAAAGGTTTCAGCCGTGCATTAAAAGCCGTTTCCTTTGCAGAAGCGGACGGTGATCTGTGACCCAGTGATCTGTCCAGAGCTGACCTGCTCCAGAACCAGTCAGCCTGAGGGCCGCTGCTGTCCCGTCTGTGATGGTGAGCCGTCCCCTTCGTCTGTTTGTCCTTCACCCGTAAGTCTGAGTCAGAGACGCGTCTCTGACCGCCGTCCTCAGGGAGGCTCTCAACTTTTCATGACTGTTTTTCCAGAAAGGAGGGAGGCCAAGGACACGGTCACTCCAGAGCCGGCGGAGGAACATCTGGAAGGTCTTTTCTAGCTGCTGTTTGTCTTTATGGGATCTCGGTCACATGGATCCTCTTCTAACCTTTGCTCTCGACTTTTCCACCACTCAGGTTGCTACTTTGAGGGCGACCAGAAGATGCATGCCCCGGGAACCACATGGCATCCCTTTGTTCCTCCCTTCGGGTACATAAAGTGCGCCGTCTGCACGTGCAAGGTCAGAACCAGTCAGAACCAGTCAGAAACAGCCGACATGCGGTGGTTTTCTGCCACAGAGGCTCTGATCTTCTGTGAGGTAAAATCTCCAACCTGCTGCCGTTCTGACCTCAGGGCTCCACGGGGGAGGTTCACTGTGAGAAGGTGACGTGTCCGGCGCTGAGCTGCAGCCACCCGGTGAGACGCAGCCCCTCTGACTGCTGTAAGGAGTGTCCTGAGGAGGACCGGACCCCCCGCCTGGAGCACGGCGACATGATGCAGGCCGACGGCCCCCGCCACTGCAAGTTTGGAAAGAACTTCTACCAGAACAGCGACAGCTGGCATCCCTGGGTGCCGCTGGTGGGCGAGATGAAATGCATCAACTGCTGGTGTGACGTAAGCCTCCCGGATCGGCAGGTTGAAACCGGAATAAACCGGATTGTAAACGGCAAACCTTCACCTTTCTCTCTCATTCTGTCCCCTCAGCATGGAGTCACCAAATGCCAAAGGAAACAGTGTCCGGTGCTGAGCTGCTTCAACGTCACCCGAACAGAGAGCTCCTGCTGCCCCGCATGCGCCGGTGAGACATGAGGGTCCTTCAGAGAGAATCTGCCTGATCTGGATCTATAGTGACCTGAGCTGACTTGATGTGCATTAGAGCATAGAAATAAATTGAATAGAGTTGAAATATCCCCATCCTGTTATCAACAATGTTCCTGTTGGGACGTTTTTCCAGTGAATATCTGAGTCCTTAACCAGAAGGTAAAACTAAACAGGATGTTTTTCTGCTGTGCTCTGATTGGACGACTGATAGACACTGATTGGTGGGAGGGATTCCCTCCAGGTGTGGCTGAAGTTGGTGTCTCTGTTCTCTGGAGCTCAGCTTCGTTCTTCTTCTCCTTAGATCACAAACAGGAAGCAGATCTGATGACAAAACCAGCGAGCAGAAGACGAAGCTGGAAGCAGTAAGGATGAGACCCCCCCGCAGATGGTCCCCAGAGCTGCACGCCGCCCCCCCATCTCTCCTGACCGACACCCACCCTGTTAGCAGCTTCACGATTGTAGCGAGAGGAGCCTCTAGAGACTGGAGGGAGTGACCCCGACACAAAGACTTTAAGGGAGCCCCATCCTGACGTCACGCCGCCTGCACCGTCTGCTGGACTTTAAGGAGGGCGGAGCTTCAGCTGCTCTCTGACTGGAAGGGAAAGGAAGGCAGTTTATGGACAGAGCTTCGTGTTGAAGTGCAGCCACTGCCAAGCGGAGCTGCTGCAGCTCCTCCTGCTGCTGCAGCTCCTCCTCCTGCTGCTGCAGCTCCTCCTGCTGCTGCAGCTCCTCCTCCAGCTGCTGCAGCTCCTCCTGCTGCTGCAGCTCCTACTGGACTCAGCCATGGAAAGTGTTCCTGAAGCGGCGAGCGTGGGCCTGCGGTCTCCCTGCTCGCCTCCGTTTATTGTTAGAAAGTGGTTCTGCTCTGTATTCCTGACAGGATGCCTCCGTTTCTCTGGGACACGACATTAAAACACCTTCTGTTTATATCATTTCGCCTCAGCTTCACTTCTTCCTGTTTGCTCTGAAAGTTGGGATTTTTTTACGGGAAATTTGAAGCAGGTTTGTATTTTGTATTTATTGAAAACTGTTGGATAGAAAAAATAAAAGCGTTTGATAGTAAACAGGAAACGTCTGCTGATTTCTAGATGCTTTAACCTCCAACTTCTAACTTTTTTTTGCAGTTTTAAATAAATATTTTCTAGATTTTCTTCCAATAGTCGATGTTTTTCTGCTGTCCCTTTAAACTGGTTCAAAACCAGAACCAGTTCCAGTAGATGTGTCCTCACCATGAGCAACGAAGAAGCCCTCAGAGGTCAAAGATCAATGGACAGACGCGTCTGTTTGTAGGAGGATTTGCTGGTTTCAGGAGGCAGCAGACGATCAGCTGATCGCTCACACTGACTGTTTGGGTGAGAAAAGGCAGCAAAGTGTTAAATGGTTTCCAGAGAAAGTGTCGAAATCCAGCAGAGAAACGTTTCCAGTTGGTGATGACATCACAGTCTGTCTTCATCTTTAGACTTTAACATTTTCCTCCTCCTCCATCCTTCCTTTCTATCCTGAACACGTGACCAACGCGTCAGACAAACATCAACACATGTCTACAGACTGAAGCATGAAGTCTCACATGGCTGCATAAAGCTGAGGCGGCTGCCCTCTGCTGGTCAAACTGCAGAACTACATTTTATTATTTTTCATTGTCTTATTTTTGCTGTTTTTTGTCTTTGGGGAGAAAAGTTGTGTTAAAGTCATTTTGTTCTTTACTATAAAACATATTCAACCTCCTGACAGTCAGGCACGGTGGTGGTGAGGTGATGGTCTGGGCCTCTATGGACCATAAACTGACCTGCAGTTTAAATAAATATGATTTATTGTTTTTCTAAGGGGTCCGTTTCACGAAGCAGGTTTAACAAACTCAGGTTTAAATCCTGAGCTCTAAATTGATCTAGCCTAAAGTCAGGAACTCTGAGGGTTCGGTTTCATATAAGCTGCTATCAAGTAGCTCAATCAACTCTGACCAGGTCCACTCAGAGTTTAACACATGCGTAACAAGTTTGAAAAGACATTATCATTATCGATGACACGAGTCGCCATGACAACAGGCAACAGGAAGTGCCCTTTTCACCCCACTGGAAGTAGAGATTTAATGCAGAAATGAAAATAAAACAGAGTGTGTTAAAAAGACAGAGAAACTGCAAAGGAGACGAAGGAGAAGATTGTTGCTCGAGTTAATGAGTTTATATGAAGTGGCCTATGGCAGGCCGTTTTTACATTTATTCAAAGCACTCTCTTCTCTGTTGTTCCATTTGCAGATCACTAAAATAAGATTCTTGCTGATCAAAGTCACACCCCTATAAACAACTGTAATAATATATTTAATAAATTGCATTTTTGTTGCAGAAACTGAAATTTAGAAAGTAAAAAAAAAAGAAAAACTACACCAGTAAGAATTAAGTTTTATATATCTAGAAATGTTTCCACATGTTAAGTGGCCGTTCTGACATTTATCAGCTGGACTGAAAATGTCTTTATGAAATCTGAAAAACATTTTTTCATAGTTAAAATAATACAAATGCTGACTAGTAATATTAGGAATATGCAGATCTGAAATTAATTTCTAGAAATCCAGAATGTTCATTCTAGATGTGGAGAATGTCATTTTGTTTGAAATGGTCATTTAGACAAAGAAACAATGTTTTTTTTTTATATATCAGTAAACTAATACATATCAAGATGGCTTTCCATAACCTGTTGTTAACGTGAAAATAATACAGGATTATTTCTTCAATGGTGGTAGATCAATGTATCTATTTAGCAGCAGGTCAAGATGAAGAATAAAAATGTTCCGATCTATAGGACCTGTTCATCGTCTCATGGGTTCCTCCTCAGTTTGGTTCTTATTCTCAACAGTAAATCCGTGTCTGTTTGCAGCTGCTCCAGATGTTTTCATTACAATAAATGATCGTTATTAGCGGCTATCAGTCCCATAGAACAGCTGCACATTTTACCACTAGGCCCAGTAGGCTGTTATCATCCAGTGAATCCTAATCCTAACCCTGAAGTCATTCCTTTTCCCCTGTGGAATTAATGAATCTATTAATGTCTAATCTGAAAATAATCTCAGTAGTTCCTCATGTACTGCATATGTAACTGAATCAAAATAAAAGTATCCTTGTCTTGTGCATATTTAACAGACCAAAAAAAAAGTAATCTCCTATCCTGTCATGAGTTGTAGAATCTTCTCCATATAAATATTTAATTCTCTGTGATTTAATGCTGATCATTCTTTAATAAGAGAAAAACTGAAGTGAGAAAGTCCTTATATGTTTCCAACTCCAGCAGGCTGCTGCTTCTGAAGCGCCTCTGATGCTCAGAAGCTTGTGAGGCGCTGAGTTCTGACATCCTCCTCGTCCTAAAGTGGTTCATACACTATTAAATATTTTCAGAGTTGCAGCTCAAACTGTACGACGAAACTGCAGGGTTTAAAAGTTCAAATTAACAATGTTTGTTCTCACACTGTACGACCCAACACTGATGCGATCTACCTGCTCACACTGTCTGTCTAAAAAATGTGGGACTCAGCTCTGCAGTGAGATGGCGCTACTTGGACTCATCAATCTGAAAGAAGAAGAAGAACTCGCCTGTTTGCACATGCTCGGTGGCCGAGGTTCTGCTTTACCAGCAGGATTTACCCACCAACACCTCAGGACGGCCGACTCAGTTTCAAACATGTTTGATTTTCTCCTGACGTTACGATTCCTGACAAGGAGGCGGTCATAAGAGTTTAATCACCCCTGGTTACCACCTGTATATTACACAACGCAGGACACACAAGGAGGCTGAAAGTCGGCCCGGTCAGAAAATTCTCGCACGACTGGAAAATCGTCCAGAAATGGGGAAAATATCATACAGTTTATGCCCGGCTTAAACATGATGTCTGTGTCATGGTTTTGGGTCTGTTTAAGTTTTATTTTTGAGTTTTTTTTGTTTTATTTCCATTTTGTGTTATTCTAGTAATTTTTGATTGTATTTCTTGTTGCCCTCTGCTGCCCTCTAGTGTCAGTCTCCTTCTCCTAGCTCCCTTCTAGACTCCTCTGTTCACACCTGCTCCCAATCTAGTCTCTGCTTGTCTCTGCCATATATGCACCTCCTGCTCAGTCACTGTTGCAGGTTTTTCGTCATTTCTTTGCCCCCCTTCTTGTGTTCCTGGATTCATGTTTGAGGATTTTTGCTTCTGTTCCTCTTTTTGTTATTAATTCTGGAAGAAACCACTTCAGCTTCAGTCTCTGCATTTGTGTCCTCTTCAAACCTCCACCCAGCCTGACAGTCTGTAAATTAATGAAATTAATTATTGCAATAAAATGTTAATCTTTTGAACAACCTAAGCTGATAAATCAGGTTATAAATGTTTAAAGAGAAGCAGTTGTGGTTTTGCCACTTTAACAGTAGATGGAGTTTGGAGGCAGACCCGTCTGCTTTGGGTCTGAAGACGACGTCTTTTTGTTCTGGTTCCAACTTTCTACTCTGTTTATAAGGACATAGACGACTATTGTATAGATTGTTTCCCTCACTTTCAAACATTAGCAGAGCCTTAAAGCTGCAGTCTGTAACATTGAGGAGAGAGCAGACTTCGACTGAAAATTTGAAGAAAAACAGGTTTCACTCCACTCCCCCACCCTCTCTGCTTCACTCATGCCCCACCTCCAAGCTCCACCCCTCTCACAGCATCTGCGCGGCTACCGCATGCGACCAGAAGGGGGGGGGGGGGGGGATTCAGCGTGTGTGAGCTGTGATTGACACTCCATCAGACGCTCCTCTGGCTGTGATTGGTTGTTTTGACTCGTCCCAAATTATTCTTTCCAGATTGAAATACAGGCAGTAGGCGGGACCAATTGAAGCAGTTTTTTTCACAGGTTACATATCACATGTACTGCTGTCTGGGCATAGGGACAGTTTTAGCCAATGTGACAAAAAAGTTATTTTTAAAAACTTACAGACTTCAGCCTTAATGCAGGTGTGACAGATTGATCACTAGAGGGCACCATCTCCACTCTGAAAGTTTCATCACTTTTTGCATTTTACTTCAGAGACGTTTGGATTTGTAAATCCAAAGTTAACAGAATAACATTGATCTGGTTAAAGTTACAGCTGTTTCAACATGTCACACGTTTGATATGTTTCACTGTTAATAAAACGCTTGTTTTCATCTGTTGGATCATTGTTTGGATTAGAAATAATTTAAATGATCACATCCGTACATGGAGGGGGGGGCAGCATCTGAGGTAGTCATGGAATCTGAACCGGGTTTAGACCACTTTGATCCAGGTGAACTTTCAAAGTTAGCAAAACTATTGTCTTCATCTAAGCCTTCAACTTGGATGTTAGATCCAGTTCCAACCAGGTTATTTAAGGAGGTATTCCCTTTGATCTCCTCTTCCATTTTAGATGTGATTAATCTATCTCTGTTACAGGGATATGTACCTAAAGCTTTTAAGGTTGCTGGAATTAAACCTTTAAGAAACCGTCTCTTGACCCAGATGACTTGGTCAATTATAGACCTATATCCAATCTTCCTTTCTTATCCAAAATTCTTGAGAAAGTAGTTGCCAAACAAGTTTGCGATCACTTCCACCATAATGAACTTTTTGAAGAGTTTCAGTCTGGCTTTAGAGCTCATCATAGCACTGAAACAGCTCTGGTGAAAGTCACTAATGATATTCTCATGGCCTCAGATAATGGACTTGTATCTGTGCTCGTCCTGTTGGATCTCAGTGCTGCATTTGATACAGTTGATCATAATATTCTTTTAGAAAGACTTGAATATTTTGTTGGAATTAAAGGAACAGAACTAGACTGGTTTAAATCTTATCTCTCTGTTCGAATTCAGTTTGTTCATGTTAATGATAGATCTTCAACACGCTCAAAGGTTACCTGTGGAGTACCACAGGGATCAGTGCTAGGACCAATTCTCTTTACTTTATACATGCTCCCAATTGGTAGAATTATTAGACAGCATGGGATTAATTTCCACTGTTATGCTGATGATACCCAGCTATATCTGTCTATAATCCAGATGAAGCTAACCCATTACATAGATTACAGGCATGTCTGAAGACATAAAAACCTGGATGACTCTTAACTTTCTGCTTCTGAATGCAGATAAAACAGAAGTTATAGTCTTTGGACCAGAGTCTCTGAAAAAGAAGCTGATTAGTCAGTCACTTCATTTGGATGGGATTAAACTGATTTCAGATTATAAGGTAAAAAATCTTGGTGTTTTTGATCAGGACCTGTCATTTAAATCTAACGCTTGTGTAAAAAGATTTTTTTTTCCTCCATTAGGCTACTAAATAAAACCATCTTTAATAAGACACCATTTTATTTTCACTAATGTGATCTTTGCAATCCCAAGTGTGATAACAGAGAAGAGGAAGGAAGAATTAAAGGTGCATCTCAAAGAGGTTCAGGAAACTTGCTGCAGGTTGTTTGCTGCCTGCTTGATGTTTTCTCGGGTCTCCGGGTCCTTATTGGCGAGGAGGTCTCGGACCTTCGTGATCTCCTGCTTCAGCTTGGAGCACTGGCAGCAGACAGGTCAGGTGGAGAAGAAAAAAGGAAAGCTATGAATCCCAGAAACTGCAGTGAACAGATTTCAGTTTAATGATTCATCTGGAAAATACTAATGGAAGTACAGAAGCCCGGAAAGGACAAATGGGAAAATAGGGCTTATTTATCCATTTGTTATTGAATACCTTTTCCTGCCACTAGAGGCACTAACAGCTGTATAAATAGATGAAGGGCTGGTTTCCAGAACCAATATCACTTCTTAAAAAGGAGAAATAAAGCAACAGGAAGCAGATAAACTGTGTTTGTTGGCAGGCAGCATCCTTATCATGAAAACACACATTTCTTTCAGGAATTATTGTTATAGAATTCTTGCTGTTGTCTTTAAATCAGGAATAAAAAAAAGATATTTATTATATTATATTTATTGATTCACAAATCAAGAAGCAGGCGTTAAACTTTAACAGAATTTAAAATCAGATTTCCTGCTTAGTTTGCAGGAATAGGAAAGTATTAGGAAGGCTTGGCATCAGTCGCCTGTTTCCACCTGGAAAACATGGCAGGGAGCGCTAGATAACAAGATCAGCTGATACCTGCTGGGTTAAAATTAACACATTTAGCATCTTTTCCCTTTCAGGATTCTTTCTGTTTTCATGTCGGAGATAAAGGATTTGGGAGAAGCAATGAAGCAGAAACATTGATGTTCATACATGCATTGTTCTCCTCCTAATGTATTAACTGGGAAACAGATTTCAGCCTCGTCCCTCTGAACTTACATAACCGTACGGCTCTTTGCGCTCTCAGTGAGATAGGAAGCATTTATGATAAAACTGCAGCGTTCTATGTTCACTTTGATTCCCTTGAACTTTAGCTCAGCGTCATAAATAACGGCCCGTATGAACGCTGAAACCCTCCGGCTGATCCAGCAGCACGTTGCAGCCGGCTTTGGAGATTTTATGAATTTATGGAACCCTGATAAAGATTTCTGGCAGCAGGTGTGTCAGATATATATCAGTGGCAGCACTGATCTCCTGGATCATTGCAGGCATTGATCTCCGGCTTGAAAGGCAGCCATGGACAGGAAAAGAGCGGCCCTTATTGCCTTTTCTCTGCTAGCGACTCTGGGAATTTCAGGAGCCAAAGGTAAGACCAAAACAGTTCTTAAGATCAGATGATTTTCTGATCACCACTATCCCTGATCAGACCCTTTCCAAACTTCCTCTTCCTAAAAATGTTGGTTTTATTTTATTTTATTTTTTTACATTATCCATATATATTAGTTTTAAAGTCCTTAAAATGTAAATTTCTCCCTTTTTGTTTTTAATCTATTAATCTTCTCTTAATCCCAATTATACAAGAAGAAACTCTTAATTAATTCTTATTTCTTCTGCTCTTCAGCAGCAGACTATGTGAAAACTCTGAAGACGCGTTTCTAAATGGATCAAAATTTTTTGACCCTTGAATAAAGAGAAGAAGAGCAAATTATTCGGGTTAACTCAGGCGTTGGACTCTTGGGCGGATTAAAGCTGCATTGCAAAGAACAGAAAACAATCTACTTATCTCCTCTAGTTCTATTATCAGCCCGTCTGAGTCTATAAATGAACACAGCCAACATCATCACTCTCTATAATAAACACAAACTCACACTTTGAATCAAAATTGGTCCCCAAACCGTTTTCAATCTCCTTTAATGATGGAGGTTCAGTTTGTCCAGATGTTTCCAGAAAGATCCCAGCTGGTCAAGAGAACAGCTGCATCTAAGCTATCATCCATGCAGAGTTTTCTTCAGGCAGGCAGGCAGCAGGCTGGTCTTCATGCACTTCTGGATAAAACAGCAGCCCTGGAACAAGATGTGCTGCTTTTTATACATGTTGGTCCAAAGAAAATCAAGAAGAGTAAAATCATTGATTTCTTTATGATCTGGACATAAATCTGGGTTATATAGAGCCTTACATAATACTGTCTTTTTTATCAGATGCTCGCCAGCAGTCAGCCAATGCCTCTGATCCTGTTCATCCTGTAGCGAATGAATAGGTCAGGATCATCTCTGGATCCAACTTATTTCTCTTCTCTACCACCAATAAAAGCATTTGAACTCAATGCACTGGTAATTTCCACTTTTCAAATGGTAAGATCACCTTCAGCAGACCCCATGAAGGCTGCTTTAATGTAAACAAAGTCACGCCGTGACGTAGCCCACCTGGGAATGACGTCTATAAGTAGCCCTGAGGGAGCATTGGATCTTTTCACTGTCATGTTTTGTTAGTCGATTGCTCCGTAGGCGCCATGCTTCAGAGCGTCTGCAGGTTGAAAGAGGAAAGTTCATTGTTTTGTGTGGTTGTTGTCAACCAGCCTGTGACTTTGGTTGGGGTGCTGCTTCGTAGCCCCCTGAGGCTGCGATTGGCATTCTTTGCAGGTGTCTGCTTGTTGTTTGTTCTCGTTGAGGTGTGGTCATTGATCAGGTGGTGACTGCTGGGAATGCGCTCTGTGGGGGTGCACCTGGTCTACTGGGTTGCCCAGTGCCAAGATGCATGGGTTCTGGCCACCATATGATTACAGGTTGCAGGTTGCTGCCAGCCCCCAAACCCATCAGGAGTAAAAGTAACTTTGGTCACAAATCCTGCTCAGGCGCAGGTCCTGCAGGTCCTGCAGGTCTGTCTCTGGCTCCTCCAGGTGCAAGGAGGCAATTTAACTCCCAGAATCCTCAGCTCAGATATGGCAATCTGGACATTTGCCATATCTGAGCTACTTCACACCAGGAGGTGTACCTGGCAACGTCCAAAATCCTTTCCCACATCGAGGCACTGGGTTTGGCAGTCAGTTGGTAGAAGAGGTGCTTGGTTCCAGCACAGCAGATGGTCTTCATCAGCATAGGTTTCAGTGGCCATGTTGACACAGCCTACCATGAAGCACCCGGAGCAGATTCAGTCCCTGCTATAGTACCTACATCTGGGAGCAGCACCTCAGTCCAGCTGAAGTTGAGATTTTTGAAGAATGCTTGTGGCAGGCAAAGTCTCGACAGCCCTGAATCTGCTTCATCTCTGCTCACTGCAACGTTAGTTAAATGCCCTCCACATGGACCCCCACATGGACCCCCGATTGCATAGAGAGGTGAAAGTTTGAATCATGCCAAGGAGTTTGACTCCTCTCTGTTGCTGGAGAGATGCTACATACTTGTGAAGCACGGTCCCCCTCGGGGCAGTTACTGTACGACTCGATGAGATGTGGTGACTATGACGCCTCTCCCCTGGGGTGGGGTGCAGTGTGGTAGTGCAGTTTAGTTCAGTGGGAGTGGTGTGCAGGGGACCACTCCCCTATGAGTGAACTCTTTAGTGCAGAGAGTCCTCTGGGTTGCACCAGGATGGCTCACGAGGATCTGGTTCCCGATGCTCTTACGTTTGTTGGCCAGAGAGCCATATCGGATTCCGGTCAGGACGGATCTATGTACCAGCTGGAAGGGAAGGTAAGGTGCGTCACCCATCTCTGTTTTTGCCTCACAGTTTGGCCACTCAGAGGGTCTGGCATCCTTTAACAGACCGGGAGCCTTCAGTCCTTCAGGGAAGACAAAATGCCAGGGCTCCTTCCAACCTGTGAATGTGTCCCAGGTGTTGGCAGTGGTTTGCCATGGCCGCCCACTGCTCCCCAAGGGGAGGGGCTAAATGCAGAGAGGGAATATCCCCATTAAAGTGGAAATATAGGGATTTACATTTTTTATTGTATCAATTAAGGTTGGGAAGGAGAGAAAATGTTAACTACAATATGCTGAAATGACTGATTGATGAAAAGAAGAAAAAAACAGTTCTATTGGAGTTTAAAGTAATGAGTCTGATGTCTAAACGTCCTTTTCTAAATTCCTGTACGCACTAGCCACACAGGGAAGATGGAGAACAATGCTGAGCTGAGTTATCGTATCTCAATGTAACTCTAAAAATCAATAGTATCTCTGATATTTCTGCTTTAGCGCTAATTTCATATGCATGCTTGTCCACAGTTGAGGAGGAGAACCCTGAGTTCTGGAGGTCAAAGGCCAAACAGACCTTACAGTCCATCCTGGACAGGAAGCTGAACACCAATGTTGCCAAGAATGTTGTGCTCTTCCTTGGGGATGGTAAGCTCTATAACCTCTACTTCTAGTTTCATGGACGTAGATTGTTCTGCCATAACATCTGGAATGATGTGCGCCTCAGGAATGGGAATGACAACGTTCACCGCAGCTCGTATCCTGAAGGGTCAGCTGCAGAACCAGAGCGGAGAGGAGACAGTGATGACCATGGACACCTTCCCACACGTGGGGCTGGCTAAGGTGGGAGCAGCACAGTAACAGCAGAAAGCCTCTGTGGTTTACCTCGCCACAGGTAGATGAGGGGGGGCAATGAAAACAGCAGCTAATGACTTTTGGGTGTTTTTTTTTTCTTTTTGTCATTTTTTTTGTATTATTTTTATTTTATGATAATAATACAATTACAATTAACAATACAATTAACAAATTACTTTCAAAAACTCAAACACACAAATAAACATCGGCAGCAAAACAGAACATGACGGCACTCATCAATGATCTATTCCATAACTTATTAATGTAGATAAACACCACATCCCTGCAGAACTGATATAATCACTGTGATGAAATCCAGCCATGCTTGGCCAGCTGTACTCTGCTCCTTCTGCACCTTTGAAATCATGACTTCTAAAGCTGCTGTCTCTGACATTAGTTGAAGTCATTCCTTAATTTCCGGTCTATGTTGGCTCTTCCGTTTACCAAGAATCATTCCAGCTGCTACCAGAAAACCTGTCATCATTATTCTACTTTCAGCTTTTGGAAAACCCTCTAAAAGGTTGACTAAACTAGACTGAACTGCCTGCAAAGGGGCGCAATCAAGGGGCAATCCCATAGTGTACCCACCTCTTCACTACACTTCCAACATTTCTTATCCTTTATTAGACTCATGCACCACAGCTTACTTGGTAGTAAAATAATTATTTTCTGCGCTCCTCGTCTGCCTTTTGTCAGCATTGACTGAAGTTGGGAGGAAATGCTGTGAAGTAAAAACAGGTTTTCCGTCTCTGCATCCGACTGTAAAGCTTCCTGGATCAAATCTGAACATCTGGACTTTTCCTAATTACTGGAAGTTTGTCTGTGGTGATGAGGAGCAAGTTTCTACTTATTGGTTCCTAAAAATACTTCAAATAAACAATGTTTCACAGACATTTTCTATCTACAGATATTTTCTCGGCCCATCAGAATGTTAATATGATCACAACAGAGTTTTAAGTTTATTTAAGTTTAAATTGTTGGAAATGTTTTTCATGATCCGCAGAGTTTTTTAAAGCTAAAGTCAAAGCTTAGATGGGGATAGATTTAGACATAGATGAGCTATTAGTTCTGTTTTCAGTGACTGAAGTCCAGATGTGCAGCATCAGCGTTCATCAGGCAGCTTCTTGTTTGGCTCTGTGTTCCTGCAGACCTACAGCGTAGACTTCCAGATCCCAGACAGCGCAGCCACGGCCACGGCGTATCTCTGTGGGGTAAAAACCAACCTGAACACCGTTGGAGTCAGTGCAGCGGCTCGTAACGGAATCTGCAAATCGCAGAAGAGAAATGAAGTCACCTCTATCATGAAATGGGCTAAAGACGCCGGTAAGGTCACCTGACAAAACCTGATTAGAATAATCAGCCCATCGTTTCTGGATCAAAAGGTAAATGTTTTAGTTTGGAGGATTATGGCAGGATCTGTGGGTAGGGGGCGCCACAGTCGGTTCCAGTTCTTCCCCTTTAGATGGATCCTTATTATTCTTATTATATTTAATTAGTAGATATTTGGCTGGATTTCAGCAGCTATCAGCGCCCAGAGGAGGCGGAGGTTAGGCATAATTACGTCTCTCCTCAGCCAAACACCTGAACCTGCAGTTTCCCTTGAGCTTGGCCGCATTGCTATGGTAACGACCTACAGTAGTGAAAAACGTACCTACTTAGAACCGTCTAACCCGAGCTCCCATTCTCTGTTAGTGGCTGAATTCAATGAAAGGAAGAGACTCGATGCGTCAGAAAGCATCGCTGCTGTAAGCTGGGCTGCTTCCGACCAGTTGTCCCAGTTAAGCTTTATGACACCTCCTGTCTCTGTGGTGTTGAGGGGGCGGCCTTCAGGGTCTTCAGGGCCTTCAGGGTCTTCAGGGTCTACGGCTCCCGTCCAGCCGTACCCCTCAGCCTCTCTGGACGTACGAACATCCCCATAATTCCCAGCTGGCCTGGCAGCGTCTGCAAGGCTCCTCCTGACTGGTTCCCACCCCTCACCGCTAGCTTCTTGATGCAGCCCAGCCCTCAGTTCCCGTCAGCCATAAGTTAGTGATCCAGTCAGCCCCCCCCCCTTGAGAACAGGAACCAACCAAACCAGTTTCTCTCTTGTATCGATCGTCCAGAACAGCTTCTCTGTTCTACATTACAGACCATCTAGATCAGCGATAACCAATTAAAAATCATTGGGCTCCGAATAAAGAAAATCATCAACCAATAAAGGAGACATTTTTAATTATAATCTGTTACTTTAAACAGAATTTAACACTGAAATAAAATGAGTTTTTTATTCAGATGAAGTTAGTGTTTCCAAACTGACCAAACCCTTGGAGCTGTTCTCAAATCCTTCATCTCTGAAGAAAATGTTTTTTATCTGGTCCAGAATGAAGCCACGCTTCTACTGCTGATCAAGCAGCTTTTATTTTCTTTGTCTTGCAGCAAATCTATGTTTAACTAAATAACATTTACATTAATACAGTATAGACCTTCTGACCAAACATTCAGGAGAAGCTTTAGACCATATCGTTTGTTTTTTGAATAAAAACCTCTGACTATTGGACTCTTAATTGATCTAACTGTGCGAGCTTCCCTCATTACTCAGCATCTTCATGTTTACCAACAGATGGCAGCAACATGAAATAAAAACGTTATTGAAATAAAAATAAAACACCTTTTCCGTGTCCCCTGCAAACTCTTTGGCTTTAGGCTTTCAGCACCATGGAGGGCTCATCTTTAAGCTCCACTGGGTTTATTCACATATAATGATGTGTTGTGACCTACAGACCGGATTAATTAGTTTATTTCTTTAAGCCATTTTTATCTGTCTTTTAGGTTTTGATCTAGGATTTTTTATTTTTCTTTATTTTAACATTAATTAGGAAAAGGTCAGATTATTATTGACTGAAAACATCTATCATTTGCTTTGTTAATATAGCTGCACAGACATGATTGTGCTGTTTTGTTGGTGTTTATGTTGCAGGTAAGTCTGTGGGTGTAGTAACGACCACGCGGGTGCAGCACGCCACCCCTGCAGCCACCTACGCCCACAGCGCCAGCAGGTCGTGGTACAGCGATGCAGACATGCCAGATGCAGCCATAGAGGAAAACTGCACTGACATAGCATCCCAGCTGATCCAAAACATCGATATTGATGTATGTTACACCGTAGCAGCGACCATTAGCTTGGACTGTTTTGAGAAAGACTTTTGTTATAAAAGCGCTAATCTATGGAAGCAAATCGTTACCATATTTAAAATGAAAAAGCATTTCTGGAAATGCTTTTTCATTTTAAATATGGTAACGATTTGCTGCCATACTACTCTGCCTAAATGTGGAATCTGTAATCTGTGCTTGTTTGTGGCAGGTGATCATTGGTGGAGGCAGGAAGTACATGACTCCCAGGTTCACCAAGGACCCAGAGTACCCCTCAGATTTATCTGCATGGGGCACAAGGAAAGACGGACGAAACTTAATCCAGGAGTGGCAGAGCATGAAAACAGGAAAGGTAGTTTATCTCCAACCGCTGCAGAGTTTATATACCGGAGATAAATAGCTTCACGCCGTCTGCACAAAACGGATCCATCGGACGGCTAAAACTTATGGAAATAAAATGTGTTGAATGAATCAGCCTCCTGGGTGATGCAGGAAATCAGGCAGCGATTAAAGCAGTGATTAAAGCAGCGATTAAAGCAGCGATTAAAGCAGTGGACTGATGGAAGAAAAGGTGCTGAAGTTTCTACATGGGGTCCCTGCAGCAGGCGCCCTAAAACAAGTTGGGTTCATCCATCGCTCCGTATTTAGAAATAGAAGCACCCGTCCCGCATTTAGTGGAATGCACTTTGTCCCGCATTACTGGGAGAGTAAAAAACAGTAAACAGCCAATGGAAACTGAAGGACAAGGGCACTTAGATACAAAACGTACGGTAAACTTGTTCCAGTCCCTGTCCTGCATTGTGACCAATGAGCTGACAGCATTTATGTAACGATCCAGAATTTTTTTTTTTTGCTGTTTTACGATTTTAGCCTACAGTCATTGCATTTATGGCACAAATATGGTTGCAAAAATATGGCACCAAAAATAAGCATTATTTATTTATTGTTTTATCTTCACTTTCAGTTAAACGGGACAGACTTGTGTTTAAGATACTTATTTCATTCAGCAAACTTTGTTATTTTGTGTTAAAGTGAATTGCTGGATGATAATTTGTTTTCCATGTATTCATGTCGCTCACAAATATGCATCTAATTCAAAGCAGATTTTAGTCAAATAGTTTTTAAAAATCATTCCACACAATGGGGGCTAAAAGAAAAACCACCACGCGGGGGGGGGGGGCACACATGAGGGAACCCTTTGTTTTTCAGGGAGTTTGCAACCCTAAAAACAAGGCATCATGTGACCTGATTAAAAGCGTAACTGTTTAATCTATCTATAGGTGACCGACTGATGAGGGAAAACTAAATAAATGGCTTTAATTGTTCGGTTTGAAAGAATTAGCCATCGAGCTAAAAGCACAAATTGTTTGACTTTCCTGCTTGTTGATGTTTCTTGGTGTGTGTTTCAGGTTGCCCGCTACGTCTGGAATAAAACGGACTTTGATGCTGTTGACCCTGAAGCCACAGACTATCTGATGGGTAATTCTGCTTGATTGATCGTGTTTCCATCCTCCTTTGGTTAATTGCACCTTTGCTTCCCTGTAAAGGTTCAGATTTCATTTAGGCATCAGGAAACACCCCAGTGACTGAACATCTTCCAGCTTTAGTAACTTTTACAGACGGACCAAACGTGCAGATAGGCCATTTTCTCTTTTTTTTTGTACTCTATCTCATTCTAGAAAGAATAACTGTTTGTTTTTATTACTTGTGATTTGGAGACATTGGTTTACAGATTATGGCTTCATGCGGCGTAAAAACAGCTTTGTTCTGCAGATGTTTCCCTGAAGTCTGCATAGCTGCAGAATCCCCCCTGAGCCTTGCCGTCTGGGATCAATAGCTGACTATTAAAGCATGGAAAGGGTTAATTAGGCTCTTGCAGGTTCCTCTACTCCCAGGTCTGAGGGTCAGCAGGGTTTCTGATGTGAGATCAGAGCAACAGGAGGAGCCTCAGCAGCTGGGGATGTTGATGCATTTTAACGCAGCGGTTTGCCTCTTTCCTCACAGCTCTGTTTGAACCCGGGGATCTGCGTTACGAGAAGGAGCGGGACCCAAGCAAGGACCCGTCCATCGCTGAGACCACAGAAAAAGCCATTCGGATCCTTCAGAAAAACCCCAACGGCTTCTTCCTGCTAGTGGAGGGTGAGAAACAGCTGATAGTGCCTCTTATGAGATGCAGGATCCATTTTTATGAATCACAGCCAAACTGGAGTCCTTCCAGAAAGTTCTAGGCACCTCCCTCTGATGATTTATGCTTCATCTCCATAAAGGGCTATAACTGGGAGGTCACACACTGGGAGGTTGCTGTATTGGGGGGGGGGGGGGGGGGGTTTGCTGCAGCTGATCACTGACAGCTGAACTCCCTCCTCAGCTCATTAAGTCAACTAATTAAATCAACGTCCAATGAAAATAAAGTGATCTGGTGTCAGCTGGCAGAACAAAGTTCACATCATAAAAGAGCAGATAATTTAATTAACACTTTGATTATCTGCTGTGGGCGTTAACATGGCGCCCAGCTTCATAACAGATCCTGGATCTGCAGCAGCTCTTTATCCATCATCACATCAGTAACAAACTCAAAGCCGTTATTGTTTCCATTCCAGTGAAAATGTTCATGTTTCGTTCATGTTTTCCATGAAAACATGAACGAATATGTGAAATATTTCCAAAGCAAACATCTGGACATTAATTCAAAGTCCTGAGAAGCTTTGAACAGCGAATCATTCATGGTGTAAATACAGAATAAATCTAATTTGCACATAAGTGAATAAACAGGCTTTGCTGTTTAACCCTTGGTGTTCCAGGGGGGAGGATCGACCAGGCGCACCACGCCGGCCGCGCTTACATGGCCCTCCATGAGGCCATTGCTTTCGATGACGCCATCGCCAAGGGCCTGGAACTCACCAAGGAGGAGGAAACGCTCACCGTGGTCACGGCCGATCACTCCCACCCTCTCACCTTCAATGGATTTCCTTTCAGAGGGCAAAGCATTCTGGGTAATTTCCATCTCTATTTTCTCAGCAGTTTTTAGTAAAGTTTTAGTTTTCCTCACTGAGCTGGACTTCCTCTATCTCATTTAAAATCAAGTGATGCTGACATTAATGGGTTAAAAAAGCAACCATCCCTAAAAGTCTGAAATAAACTACAAGCCGCTTCCAGAAAAACAAAAGAGCCACTAAATTAGTTCCTGAACTGAAGTTTCTCAGACGTTTCCAACAAAATCCGCGTCAAACTTTAAACCTTTGACCCTTTAAAGCCACAGATACCAAAATGAGCCTTCAAAGCTGCAGTTTGCAGGTCTCAGCTCCCTGCCTCCCCCTCCCAGCAGTGATTAATGAATCTCTAAGCTCTTAATCAGGAGGGAGACGCGCCAAGCTAATGGCTCATCTGGAGACGAACACAGAGATTCTCCATCAGCTGGAGACGTCCTGCAGGTCTCTGGAGATCCACACATCTCCCCTTCTGCTGCGCTCAAGTGTTTCTGTAACCTCTGCATGTTCATGCATTCAGAGCAGCTCCCGTCTGGAGCTCAGATCTCACCTTTCCGATATGCTTATCCCTGCATACAACCCCCAGCTGATCAGGGCTAAACCAACAGTGAAGCAGATCAGAGTGTGGTCTGAGGGGGCCATGGAGAAACTCCAGGACTGTTTTAAATGCTCTGACTGGAACATCTTCAAGGCTGCAGCAACATATGACAACTTATTAAATATAGATGAGTCTGCCATGACTGTGTCAGCCTACATCACCAAACGCATTGAGGACGTCAGCATCAAAGTAACATCACCACCCTGGCCAACCAGCCCCCCTGGATAAATGGAGAGGTTCAGAAATCACTAAAAGCACCGAACTCAGCTTTCAAGTGTGGTGATAAAGAGGCTCTGAGAACAGCGCATGGCGACTTAAACCATCAGATCAGCGAAGCAGAACCACAGCCAGAAGATCCAGGATCTTTTCCACGATGACAGCAACACCAGGAGGATGTGGAAAGGCATTCGGATGATCACAGACTACAACAACCCCCCCAACCCCCACCCCCCCCCCAACCCCCACCCCCCCCCCCCCCCACCCCCCCCACCCCCCTCCCCCCCGGTAGATGCAGCAAACACTGACTTCCTAAATGAAGTGAACAACTTCTTTGGAAGGTCTGAGGCACTAAACAGCCTCCAGCAGTGAAAGCTGTTCCACACCAGGGGGAGGAGCCACTAAACCTGGACGTAGCTGAAGGGAGGAAACCTCTGAGGAGAGTCAATCAGAGGAAGGCCCCAGGGCCTGATAACACACCTGGGCAGGTGTATAAGGAGTGGTCAGGTCAGCTGGCTGGTGTCCTCACAGACATCTTTAACACCTGGCTGGACCAATCCATAGTGCCAGCATGCTTCCAGTCTGCCTCCATTATTCCAGTCCCAAAGAAGCCTCAGGTCGCCTCCCTCAATGATTAGCGGCCTGTCGCTCTGACTCCCATCATGATGAAGTGCTTCCAAAGGCTGGTTAAAGAACACATCGTCTCCAGTCTGCCGCCAACATTCCACCCGTTCCAGTTCGCCTACCGACGGAACCGCTCCACTGAGGACGCCATCTCTGCTGCTCTCCACCTGAGCCTGGCACACCTGGAGGAGAAGAACACCCACGATGGATGCTGTTCCTGGACTTCAGTTCAGCTTTCAGCACCATCATCCCACAGCATCTGATGGGCAAACTGGAACAGCTGGGCTTCAATACACCCCTCTGCTATTGGCTGCTAGACTTCCTCACCAACAGACCTCAGTCAGTCCGCTTCTGATGTCATCAGTCTAAGCCCCTCCCGTCCTGAGCCCCCTGCCGTTCACCCTGATGACGCACGACTGCGTCCCCAGGTTCACCACCGATCACATGGTGAAGTTTGCAGACGACACCACGGTGGTGGGCCTCATCAGAGACGACAACGACCTGGACTACAGAGAGGAGGTGGAGCAGCTGGTGGAGCAGAGATAACAGCCTGATCCTGAAGGTGGAGAAGACCAAGGAGATCATGGTGGACTTCAGGAAGAAGCGGCCTAACCACGCTCCACTGCTCATCAACAGCTCAGCTGTAGAGGTGGTCATTCATCACAGACACCCTCACCTGGACTGGAAACACCACCTCACTGGTCCAAAGGGCCCAGAAGCGCTTTGACTTCCTGCCCCCCCCCATCCTCCCCACCTTCTCCAGAAGCACCATAGAGAGCGTTCTGAGCAGCTGTCTCACTGTGTGCTGTGGAGGCTGCAGCGCCTCAGACTGGAAGAAGGTGAGAACAGCAGAGAGGATCATGGGGGCTCCTCTTCCCTCCATTTCATCCGACCTGCTGTTTACATTTGATCACTGCTGCACTTTATGTAACGGAAATGTTCATTTACTGTCTGAAAGCTGAACTAAACCAAATTTAACTTTCTTTACACTCTGTGTACAAAATGACAATAAAAGTTGTTGAAGTCTAAGTCATCATGTGGGTAAAAACTCAGAGGAAGGAAAGAAAACTGCATTAAAGTTCTTCTTCCTGTTTTCTAGGTAAATCTCCTCTGTGGGGAACAGACTTTTTACCTTACACCATACTGATGTACGGCAACGGACCGGGTCACAAAATCATCAATGGGAAGCGCCCTGACATCCGCAACATCACCACCAGCAGTAAGACCCTATCGCTGTTTTTCTGTCATGGCGAAAAGATACATAGAAATGAAAACTGACACCTTTTACATCCCACTGCCCTTACAATCACTCTATTGAGACCATGACCCAAAACCCCCAGACCTCCAACCTGACCCCCTGATCCAGACCCCCATCCTGACGAAGACCCTCATCCTGATCCAGACCCTCATCCATACCCAGACCCTCAACTCCGATCCAGACTCTCATCCATACCCAGACCCTCATCCATACCCAGACCCTCATCCATACCCAGACCCTCATCCTGATCCAGACCCTCATCCATACCCAGACCCTCATCCTGATCCAGACCCTCATCCATACCCAGACCCTCATCCTGATCCAGACCCTCATCCATACCCAGACCCTCATCCTGATCCAGACCCTCATCCTGACCCAGACCCTCATCCATACCCAGACTCCCATCCATAACCAGACCCTCATCCTGACCCAGACCGTCATCCATACCCAGACCCCCATCCTGATCCAGACCCTCATCCTGACCCAGACCCTCATCCATACCCAGACCCCCATCCATAACCAGACCCTCATCCTGACCCAGACCGTCATCCATACCCAGACCCCCATCCTGATCCAGACCCTCATCCTGACCCAGACCCTCATGCATACCCAGACCCTCATACTGATCCAGACCCCCATCCTGACCCAGACCCTCATCCATACCCAGACCCTCATCCTGACCCAGACCGTCATCCATACCCAGACCCCCATCCTGATCCAGACCCTCATCCTGACCCAGACCCTCATCCATACCCAGACCCTCATCCTGATCCAGACCCCCATCCTGACCCAGACCCTCATCCTGACCCAGACCCTCATCCATACCCAGACTCCCATCCATAACCAGACCCTCATCCTGACCCAGACCCTCATCCATACCCAGACCCTCATCCTGATCCAGACCCCCATCCTGACCCAGACCCTCATGCATACCCAGACCCTCATCCTGATCCAGACCCTCATCCTGACCCAGACCCTCATCCATACCCAGACTCCCATCCATAACCAGACCCTCATCCTGACCCAGACCGTCATCCATACCCAGACCCCCATCCTGATCCAGACCCTCATCCTGACCCAGACCCTCATCCATACCCAGACCCCCATCCTGCCCTAGACCCCCATCCTGACCCAGACCCTCATCCTGACCCTAAAGTTAATCCACACATTGGTTTTAAAATTAACCCTCAGACCAAGAAGTGAACCTTTCCACAAGGAAAGGTTCACTTCTTGGTCTGGGCACCAGCAAAACTAAAACCAGGCTCGGTGTGAGTGACCTTGAGTTTGGACAGTGGGTGTTTTCCCTCCATTAGAGCTCACAGTCAAACAGTAGTAGTGAGGTCATCAGTGTCCAGGCAGAGAATACAGACATGGTTGTTTTTTTGTCTTTTGTAGCAGACCCAGACTACGTCCAGCTTTCTGCAGTCCCAGTAGACTCGACCACCCACAGCGGGGAGGATGTGGCAGTTCTGGCCCGCGGACCCATGGCTCACCTTTTCAGCGGGGTCCAGGAGCAAAACTACATCGCCCACGCCATGGGCTATGCTGCCTGCGTGGGTGCTGACCTCAGGCATTGCCAGGGGGAGACCAATAAACCTGCAACCCCCGACAACGGGTCTGGGACACGTCATACTTCAGCAGTTCTGTCTAGCAGCCTCCTCAGTTTCATCCTGGCCTTGACACTGCTCATGTAAGACCCCCCCCCGGCAGCCACCAGGGTAGCTTCAGGGTATGTTTCAGCCTGCAGAGTGCTTTGATTAAAGGAAATAAATGAAATCAACCTGTGCTGAAGTTGAGTATTTTTTTGTTTCATCAGTTAAAGAGTCTAATGATTGCAGAGAAGTGAACAGAGTGAGAAATATTTAACCTTAAATAATCTTAGGACGTGCAGCATGGTGTCTCTGTCTGAGGAGTCCAGATCTGCGGTCTCCACAGGAGGACAGGAGGCCACGGGTGTCTGTCCAACTCTGGGAGGAAATAAATGAAGGGTTGGATGCAGCTGTGACTCAGGGGAGGTTCTGTTAACTTTACTAAGGATGGAGATGTTCTCAACCCCCCCCCCTTCCTAAGATTAAACACCTTCCTCTGTGGGTTATGGTGGGACATCAACTGGGACAGGAAGAGCCGATAAAATAAGAGGAAAACAGTTGATGAAGGAAAAATGGGGAACGTTCCAGGTTAGAAAGTCACTTGTTTTTAAAATAAAGTGACTCTTTCAGATATCTCTATCACTCTAAGTCCTTTTCCGTGTTCCTGCTGGAAACCAGAAAGCTGAGATGGTCGTTGTTCTGAAATCAGTGCTGCAGAGAATATCTCCTAACAGATGCAGAAACATTTGCTGACTGCATCCCTGCAACTGGAAAATAAAATAAAACTCATGTTATGAGCGGTAGCTGTGATTTTAATCAATTCAGTTTATTTCTATGCTCCAATTCACATCATGTCACCTTCAGGTCACTTCATAGATCCAGATCGATCAGATCATCCACTCAAATTAAAGGTTCAAAGTTTCTCTCCAAGGAAAACCAGCTTCAACCAGAAAACCAGATCCTACAAACCTTCTTAACTTCAGTAAATGATCCTAACTTATCCTCGTAAACCTGATGCAGTCCACCTGTGTCTCAGTGAGCACATGGGAAACCGCCGGGCTGCCACAGGAGAGAAAATTAAACAGAAATACACTCACCGGCCACTTTATTAGGTAAAACTGCTCGTTAACACTTAATTTCTAAGCAGCCAATCACATGGCGGCAACTCAGTGCATTTAGGCATGTAGACATGGTCAAGACAGTCTCCTGCAGTTCAAACTGAGCATCAGTATGGGGAAGAAAGGTGATTTGAGTGACTTTGAACGTGGCATGATTGTTGGTGCCAGAAGGGCTGGTCTGAGTATTTCAGAAACTGCTGATCTACTGGGATTTTCACGCACAACCATCTCTAGGGTTTACAGAGAATGGTCCGAAAAAGAAAAAACATCCAGTGAGCGGCAGTTCTGTGGGCGGAAATGCCTTGTTGATGCCAGAGGTCAGAGGAGAATGGCCAGACTGGTTGGAGCTGATAGAAGGGCAACAGTGACTCAAATAACCACCCGTTACAACCAAGGTGGGCAGAAGAGCATCTCTGAACGCACAGTACGTGGAACTTTGAGGCAGATGGGCTACAGCAGCAGAAGACCACACCGGGTGCCACTCCTTTCAGCTAAGAACAGGAAACTGAGGCTACAATTTGCACAAGCTCATGGAAATTGGACAATAGAAGATTGGAAAAACGTTGCCTGGTCTGATGAGTCTCGATTTCTGCTGCGACATTCGGATGGTAGGGTCAGAATTTGGCGTCTACAGCATGAAAGCATGGATCCATCCTGCCTTGTATCAACGGTTCAGGCTGGTGGTGGTGGTGTCATGGTGTGGGGAATATTTTCTTGGCACTCTTTGGGCCCCTTGGTACCAATTGAGCATCGTTGCAACGCCACAGCCTACCTGAGTATTGTTGCTGACCATGTCCATCCCTTTATGACCACAATGTACCCAACTTCTGATGGCTACTTTCAGCAGGATAATGCGCCATGTCATAAAGCTGGAATCATCTCAGACTGGTTTCTTGAACATGACAATGAGTTCACTGTACTCAAATGGCCTCCACAGTCACCAGATCTCAATCCAATAGAGCATCTTTGGGATGTGGTGGAACGGGAGATTCGCATCATGGATGTGCAGCCGACAAATCTGCGGCAACTGTGTGATGCCATCATGTCAATATGGACCAAACTCCCTGAGGAATGCTTCCAGCACCTTGTTGAATCTATGCCACCAAGAATTGAGGCAGTTCTGAAGGCAAAAGGGGGTCCAACCCGTTACTAGCATGGGGTACCTAATAAAGTGGCCGGTGAGTGTACATATAAAAAAAATAGTAATAGCAAAATAAAGAACAGTGAATGAAAACTACTGATGGAGGCCAAAGGATCAACATCTGCTGTAAATATTAATGAGTTCTCCATCAAACAACAGAACAACATTCTGATAAATCTGCTTTAATTCCCATTCACACCTGTATTAGAATAGAATAGAATAGAATAGATTAGAATAGAATAGAATAGAATAGAATAGAATAGAATAGAATAGAATAGAATAGAATAGAACAGAACAGAATAGAATAGAATAGAATAGACAAGAATAGAATAGAATAGAATGGAATACTTCATTCTCTCTCTGTTCTCCTATTCTGCAGAATCTGTTAGTTCAATCTCTAACGTTCTGCTCTCTCTGCTTTTCCTCAGAGTAGCTTTGCCTCGTCTGTTCCTGTTTGGCTGTGACGTCATCCTGGAAAAAACATCAGCTGTGCTGCTTCTATCAACACCCTTGTTTATAGATGTTGGAGATCGGCCGGTTTTCCAGTGTGGTCCTGTTTCTCTGACCGTGACTGAGTGGATGTGCTCTCTTCGTCCTCTGGCATGGGAGCTGCCTTGGAGCTCGTCTGCCTGGCTGTGTGTTTCCTGGACGGGGCCGCCTTTTACAGCTGCTTTTTGTATCTCTGCTTCTTTTTCTATGTCTGCTTCTGTCTCCTTGAACCCCAGTGGGCCTCGGCAGATGGCCGCTCACACTGAGCCTGGTTCTGCTGGAGGTTTCTTCCTGTTAAAAGGGAGTTTTTCCTCTCCACTGTCGCTACAAGCATGCTTAGTGTGGGGGATTGTATTTGAGTCAATGAGTCAATGCAATCAACTGGTTTTCCTTAGATAGAAAACTTTGTATCAATTTGACTGGATGATCTGGTTGAACTGTAAAGTGCCTTGAGATGACATGTGTTGTGAATTTGGCGCTATATAAATAAACTGAATTGAATTGAATTGAATTGAATAGAAAATATAAATTGAAAATGTATTGTCCCATAATGGGGAAATTCTGGTGTTTACAGCAAAAAGAATATAGAAAAAATGGTCACACAAATGTGGACCTAAGAAATGTGTCTAAAAATAACATATTAGTGAAGAATTAAAAGATAAACAATAAATTACTGTAAAGTGTTTTAAAAATATAAAACTGGAGAATAAATAACCAATATTCAGCTATGGACATTTTTCCAGTAATGGATATTTGAAAATAGCAGCAACATCAGAGACGTGCAGAATGACAGCAGCAGGTTATTTAACTGACTAAAGTAGAACAAAGTGTAAAAATGGGGAATCCGTCGTTCTCTCCTGAATCACTCGTAGAATGATTTATAATCTAATTTGTTCTATGAATGGTTCTTTTATGAGACGTAATGACCTCCTTCTCTCCAGGAGGAGAGAATCCCTCCTTCCTCACACTAAGCAGGCAGCGAAAGTGGAGAGGAAAACTCCCTTTAAACAGGAAGAAGCCTCCATCAGAACCAGAACCAGGCTCAGTGTGAGCGGCCATCTGCTGAGGTGAAGCAGGAAGCAAATGATTTAATTCAAAACAGACTGAATCAGAAGCACAAAAATCTACTTTAAAATCTACATTTTATCCAAAAGCCTTTTACTCTGGGAAGTTGGAAAGGTTTGAACTTACATCAATAATCTGAATCCCTTAAAAATGAATTTGTAATTTAGAAATAGCTTTTTTGGTTTTACTGTGGTCAGAATGATCAAACTTCTGTATTAGATTGACTCTAACCTAAAGTCCCAAAAAACCCCAAAGGCAAATATCTGCAGGCGACTCTGAGCAGAAGGCAGGTGGACCACAGGGGGGGGGCCACCTGCTCACACCCTCCTTCCAGGATATTTAACCACTTCTGTTGCTACAAAAATGGGAGATTTGATCTAAATCTGTTTTTTCACTGTAGATCAAAATGTCCACAGTCAAGGGACAATGAGTCTCTATCTGGATTTGACCTAAACTATCATCCTTTCTTATATGTTTCTGCATTTAAGAGACGCTTTTATCCAAAGCGACTTAGAAAGTAGATTATATACACGATTATCCCGCGTCAGGGGAATCCATCCGCGGTCTCACTGGGACACTCACCACTATGTGTCCCTGTCTATGTGTCCCTTCTCTTTGATGAAACTAGATCAACGATGAAGGTGGTGACTAAAATGGTGAACCAGGGATCCTTTCCACTGGTTTAACATCATCATGGAGAAAATCCAGCTGACCAACAAACATCTGTTAAAATCCTTGGGATGGATTCTGCAGAAAGGTGCAACTTTGCTCTGCAGTCAGAGAAGTGGGAAAGTTTCAGACTTCCAAACCTACGAACCACAGCGCCAACTGGTGGTAGGAGGATCATACTGGTTTGTTTGGCTGCTAGATTCTTTAGCTTCACCATAAATGGACTGACTGACAGAGCGAGGAAACAGAACAGATAGTCTGGATGTTTGATGAAACATGGTGCTTTAAGCGGTTTAATAATAAAGAAAACGTTCCAAGGACAACAGGACATGGAACGGAGACAGAGCAGGAAAACCAAGGAAATGAGGGTCAGGAAAACAGCATTCAGAAGGAAATCAGCTACTACTATAAAATAGATCGAAGGATGAAAACGGAAAACTGAAACAGAACGCCAGAGATTACACCAATATAATAATAATGACGTATAACAATAAATTAATATTATACTACCGCTTGTACTAACGGGGGGAGCTGACTAATGTTAGATTTCCGTCTCAGTAAGTTATAATTTCCCAACCTGTGATGCTAAAGGCGTCCAAGTAGGTCCCCTCTTTGCTTTGATCCTTTCCTCCAATATCCGCTGTGCTAATTAAGGTTTTAGGCAGCGCACTTTCATGATATCACTACGGCAGGCCATTAATTATGCAAAATATTTAAAGTTCATCTATTTTTATCTGTGACAGATTGTGGTCATTATTCTGGACATCTGGTGGGGCTTGGAGTTTGATCAGCCTGGTTGGACTCGTTGAGTTTGGCCAGAGGCCTCCACCATGTCTGCGATATTCACCTTTCATTGGGGTTCAGAGGACTGCAGGGCGGACACAGCTTCCATTACAGACATTTTAACTAATGGGTGAATTAGAGAGGTGATGATAATGATGAATATTACAGAAACAAAACTGATTATTCAAGACATACATTCAGCTTTAAAGTTGATCTGATACTTTATCCTGCAACAGATTTAAAAACCATTTTCCTGCTTCTTTGTCTTTTTGCCCTCTGGACATCCAACACCCTTTCCAAACCAACCTGCAGCTTCTGTCACTTGATTTCTTCTGCTTCTCAAATCTATAATAGAATCACTACTGATTTCTAAAATCCAGCATTAATTAAAGGTTCATCTTATCTGCAGCTATGGGAGCCTGGAGGGTTGGAGAAGATGATCTGTTTAGTCTGCAGGATGAACGCCGTCTCTGCCCTCTGGAAAGTGCTGCTATAGTTACACCCTGAACCAATCAGATTAAAGATATGGTTTTCATTTTACATCTTTCTTCACACGTGAAGTTGAATTATAATATTCTTCTTTTTTTCGGGGGGGGGGGGGGGGGGGGGGGGGGGTTAACACAGTCCTGTCTTGACTTGTTAGCAACTTGGAGGAGTAATGAACAGATTGGAATGAACAGGCCTTCAGGAATCCGCAGAGCATGAAGGCAGGTTCAGAGTCAGACAGGTCCAGAGGTGTGCCCAGACGGACACGCACAGATGCAGACAGGCATTCTCAGTGGTTGAAAGAACAGAGACAAGACGTAGTACGAGGATTTCAGCAGTACTTTTAACCGGTCTCCTATAGGAGCCAGGCTTACAGGAATAAAATGGACCCTCTCGCACCCCAAGCCAGAACCCTGAGGGCTCTGAAGATAATGATCTGACCGCGATCTCTCAGGCTGAACCCAATATAAAGCACATACACAGGTGGAAAGGATGAGTCAAAATTAGGAACCGGGTAGAACTAGGCAGGTGAGTGCAATTAAAAATTAAGGTGAAGCTATCAGGCCAGATCATGACTCTTTGCAGGATTCTATCCTCCTGGATGAGCAGGTAGAGACAGTAGATGTTGACTCTGCAGCAATCCCTCACACTGAGCATATTTGTAGTGACAGTGGAGAGAAAAAACTCCCTTTGAACAAGAAGAAACCTCCAGCAAAACCAGAGCCATTTTCAGAGGAGCTGCGTTGTCTAAGGCAGTACGCAGAGAACTAGCAACCCCATCAACAAAATCATCAACCTGTGAAGGGGAATAAACTATGCTTTTGCACTCTGCAGCACTGCGCAGCGACACAGAGGAGAGAGAAAGTGAATCAGATTTAATGATCTGATAAAGTAAAACCTTCTTTTGGGGGAGGAGAAATCTGTTAAAGTAATCCTGAAGGTTATTAGAAAGTGGTCAGAGAGGACAGGGCTGTGAGGAAATACTGTTATTTCTTCACATTCTATGCCGTATGTCAGCACAAGATCCAAAGTATGAAGATGAGAATGCGTGGGACTATTCACATTTTGAACAAAGCCAATAGTGTCTAAGATAGCATTAAAGGCTCCTCTTAAGCTATCGCCTTCAATGTCAGCATGGATGTTAAAATCTCCCACTATGATGACCCTGTCAGTATTTTTTTTTTATTCTTTATTTACTTTTTTTTTTTAGTTTTTATGGCACTAGTGGGCCATTTTTTTTCTGACAGAAGGCTGAAACGTAAGGGGGTATGAGAGAGGGGGAGAGAGATGCGGCAAAGGACCACAGGCTGGATTTGAACCCGGGTCGGCTGCGTCATGGACTAAGGCCTCCATACATGGGTCGTCCGCACTAACCACTGATCCACCTGCATGCCCACCCTGTCAGTATTTAACACCGAATCAGAAAGGAATTGATTTGGTGTTAAAAGCTCATCTAAAAATTCAGAGTAAGGACCTGGTGGACGATACAAAGTTGTGAAATATGAATCTATTTCCTGACTGTGCTGCGGCTAAAGTGGGACCGTTTGGTCTTCTGATCATCACATCTACCTCAGCTTCTGCATCTCAGCCCAGCAGCTGAGAGACGCATCAGACTTCCCCAGCGGACAGTACCACAGTAATCCTGCAGGTGGCGCCTGAGCATCGGATTAGTGCCTCGAACGCAGGGCCTCTGTGGAGCTTCTGGTGTCTGAGTGTTTTGCCGCAGTTTGGGATGTTATGAAAGACGGCAGCAGCAGGAGAGTGGGTGCAGCAGATCCCCATCCTGTAGGAGGAGAAGCGGAGCAGAAACATGTCTGACTGACAGTCCTCCCACTTCCCAACCTTTCAGAGACTCAGGCTTTTCTTTTTCAGCTTTATTCTCTCAGCTCTGTGCGCTTTACGCATAAAAATCCTCTTTGGGGAGTTTTCGTGTTTGTTCTTGTTTATGTTAGCTATTTTTTAGCGCTTTGGGTCTATTTACTAACCTCCTGAGGCCCAACAGGCCTAATTAGGATTTTAAACTGAGTCAGTTTAGAGGAATGACGGAAATTAACTTTAGGTTTAGGTTGGGGTTAGACTGGTAATGGTCAGTTAGGGTGAATTCCATGAAATAAAAAAGCTCTTCATATGGATAGAAATACAAATCTGTGTGTTTCATTAGATCATGTCTTTCTTTTTTTAACTCTTAGCTGACAGATAAAAACAATAAAATGTCCTCAAAGTTCCAGGGAGTCTCATTAAACCTAATCAAAGAAGTAAAGCGGTTCTATTTCGGGGAGGGAAATTATTTTGGATCTGAGCTGCAGAGAAGATGGTTGTGGTGCAGTGTGGGATGGGGGGGTGGGATGGGGGGGTCCATGGCTCTAGAAGGCTAACTTTAGATTCCTGGTGGGCGTGAGGAAAGAGAAACACATGTTGAGGTGAATCAACAGGAGGGCATCAGTTTCCTTTCCTTAAAGATCAGTTTAAAGAAAATGATGCTTTATAAAATCACAACATCTCTACTGTAAAGACTGATGGCAGCATCATGCTGTGGGACTATTTTCCTGCATTAGAGGCTGTGAAAATGTTTACAGTTGATGAATCAGGCCATCCTGCAGGAAGTTCTCCTCCATCAGACATTCAGCCAGATGGTTCAGTTCACAGGAAGTCAGAGGAAGTCAAAACTCACAACTATGTTCTGTTCAGGCTCTGTGAGAACAGGCGGGGGGGGGGGGGGGGGGGGGGGGCTCACTGCTGTAAACACGGACAGGAAATGCAACCCTAACTGAAATACCTGCTCCTCCTCTGCGTGCTCCCACTGCTCCTCCCTCTGTGACTCCAGCCAATCAGGTCTCTTTCCGCTCCTCCAGGAGGCGGAAAGTCTGAGCAGGCGGTATAAGAGCGGCCTAAGCATGGACTGTTTCCCATCCAGGTTGATCAGGAGGAGGCGATCCATATCCACGCTGTGGCGTGGACTCGACACACAGTGACGGAGCGTGGGGGGTGAACCCCGGCCCACAGCACTACATCCAGGCTGGAGGAAGGAGTCCTGCCGCTGTCCCTCCGCTGTGGTGCTGAACTTCAGGATGAAAGCTGCTCGTGCTGGCGAGGAGCTGAAATCCAGAGACAGACAGATTTAAGAAAAGCTGCAGAGAAAACTGAGCGGATTAGGAGACAGGAGGAGCAGCAGGGAGCAGAGGAGATGGCCAGCCCCCCCTCCGGTCCCACAGGCTTAGATCCGGAGCTGTAAGCAGCGCAGCAGCGGAACCAGAACCAGGCTTTCCACCAGAGAGGTACGCTTTACAGCAGGACGCATGTTTTAGGTTGGTGTCCGTGAGCGGAGGGATGGGCTGCATCAGCTGCAAGGCGCCTGTTGGTAAGAAGAGCTTTAACCTTCTCCTCTCAGCCCCAACCTGCACCTGGCTGCTGCATTGGTTCACCTGCATCCTCACTCAGTGTGGGCTTTGAATGCGAGGTTTTTTCACGATGACATCACAGCACCGCTGGCTCACGGGCACGTGGGCAGCTGTTCACGCTTTAAGGGAGGAATCTGCTTTGGTCTCCTAATGTGGTGAACCTGGAAGATACGCAGCCTTCAGCTCTTGGCAGGAAATTACCCCCGCCCATTTATGGTGTATGACGTAGCAGCTGAAAGGATGCAGTGAAGGAGAAGGGAGTAAACAAACCTGCAGAGATGTTGTTCAATTCCTCCTGTGTTTGATCTATAAAGGTTAGTCTGTCTAACCCTAACCTGCTGCTCCATCAGCTCTAAGTGATGGAGCAGCATGGCTTCTATTTGATTCACAGCTCATGACTTTACCCCATAGAATAGAATAGAATAGAATAGAATACAAATTTATTGTCATTACGCTGTCACAACTACAAAGCAAAGAAATGTAGTTTGCATCTATCCAGAAGTGCTATGCAGGATATAGATATATATTTGCATGTGTTCGGAGATGCATGGACTATAAATGGTTTATATAAACAGAATAATTGTAAGAAGCTATAAAATAAATAAATATGGAAGCTATATACAGATTATACAGGAAAGTTAGGATATGGATTATATATAAATTAGTGGGGTTAGAATACAGGATTAATAATGATAACAGGAACACAGAGCAGGATCTGAAGGATTTCTCCTGAAAAAGGTTCAATCAACAGCAGCAGCCAATAGAACGCGTCCGTCACTCAGCAGCCATTCACATTATTATTATAAAAACTCCATTTCATAAAGATTAAAACACAGGACTGCACCTCCATAAATGAAACAAAAGACATTTTTCAGATTTAAATTCCCCAAATGAAAAGAGATATTTTTCAGTCAGTTTTTATAACTTTTTTTTCTGATTAAGAGACAAAAGAAAATGTGTTTTAGTTCTGAAACGGTTTCTTGGTGAAAAAGGGGCTCTGTTGGTTGGTTCCCTCCTGACCTGAAGCCCACAGATCGTCTGTGGAGCTTCATCAGGTCAGACTCTCTGTACATCATGAGGAAAATGTTCTTTAGGAGGTTAATTCCTGCCCTGTTAGACCTGATAAAACACACCTGATCCAGCGCACCAAGTCAGACCGAACTTTGATCCTTTGCCTCTTTGTTTGCTTCCTCCAAATCATACGACGTTCATTTCCAGCCAAGCTGCAGATTATGCTTTCACCAGAAAAAAAGAAAAGACCTCAAATTAAACTCCAGTCTTATTGTTCTGAAAACATTTCTGAACTTTTAGTGTCAGAAGCTGCTAAGCTCAGGAAAGGCTGCTGCTGCTTTCCACATCCTGAGACCAGGGCAGATCAGACACAGGAGCTGAAACATCCCCATGGAGGCGCGGGTTAAACGCCTCCTCTGGACGCCATGCTGCTGGCTGTGATGAATGACAGCTTAGATGGAGGTAAGACCAGAGCTCTGACTCCTAGAGTCTCCTCAGCATTTAATACCAGCAGAAACTGAACCAGGTTACGGTTTAGACGTTTAAAGTTGGTGATGTCATAGTCATGCAGCTGGTGATCAGCTGTTGCCAAGCAACAAGCACCGAGTTTGCTCCAAGTATCTGTGCAGACCTCCATGACGCTTGTCTCCCACGTGTGACACCAAACATCAGGTAGTTCCTGTTACCCCCAGTGGTGGTTTCAATGGTGGTGATGGTGGTTTTAATGGTGGTGATGGTGGTTTTAATGGTGGTGATGGTGGTTGTGATGGTATTGCCCAGGTGGGCCTACTTCAGTGCGGCTGATTGAGCCAAAGACAGAAGGAAAAAAATGTGAACCAAAGGGACACTTCTGCTCCCTCAGTTTCCACGACAACAGAAATCTAACCTTTGATTTCAGTTTATTTAAATCAAACTGTGGGATACATGTGAAATAAGCTGCTGGCCATTTTCCAGTCCTCCTCATGGTGGAACTGGTCCTGCTGATCCATGCGAAGAATCAAATGCAAATTACATTTAAGATCTTTTTTTCCAGCGTTTTATTGTCATTCCACTGTCAGCAGTACAGAGCAACAAAATTCCCTCTCTGCATTTAACCCCTCCCCTTGGGAAGCAGTAGGCTGCCATAGTGCGGCACCCGGGGAGCAGGGTGGGGTTAAGGGTCTTGCTCAGGGACCCAGAGTGGCGGCTGTGGGAGTGGGGTTTGAACCACTAGACCACCACTCCCCAAAGTGGTTGCCCCCCTTTGTACTTGTTTCCTTTCCATGTGGCTTCCTTCTAGTTAGTTCCACTCACACCTGCGACATATTCTTTATTCCATCCTTTGTTCTGTCCCCTATATATACACCACCTCCGCAGTGCTGGTTTGTTGCTGTTTTGTTGCTCTGCCACTGTGGGTTAAAGTTCAAGGAGACAGAAGCAGACATAGAAAAAGAAGCATAGATACAAAAGGCAACTGTCAACCAGCTCCACAGGCGGCCCCGTCCAGGAAACACACAGCCAGGCAGACGAGCTCCGAGCCAGCTCCCATGTCAGAGGATGAAGAGAGCACATCCAGTTAGTCACAGTCAGAGAAACAGGACTACACTGGAAAACAGGCCAAGCTCCAACATCTAGAAACAAAGGTGTTGATGGCAGCAGCACAGCTGATGTTTCTCTCCAGGATGGAGTCACAGCCAAACAGGAACAGACCAGATGAAGCTACTATGAGAAAAAGCAGATAGAGCAGAACGTTAGAGATTGAACTAACAGATTCTGCAGAGTGGGAGAATAGAGATAGAATGAAGCAAAATGATGAAAAAGGGGTCCCTATGTCCTCCAGCAGTCTAAGCCTATAGCAGCAGAACTATAGAGATAGAATGAAGCAGAATGATGAAAAAGGGGTCCCTATGTCCTCCAAAAGTCTAAGCCTATAGCAGCAGAACTATAGAGATAGCTCAGGATAACCTGAGCCACTCTAACTAGAAGCTTTATCAAAAAGGAAAGTTTTAAGCCTAGCCTTAAAAGTAGACAGGGTGTCTGCCTCACGGACTAAAACTGGTAGTTGGTTCCACAGGAGAGGAGCCTGAGAACTAAAAGATCTGCCTCCCATTCTACTTTTAGAAATTCTAGGAACCTCTTTAATCTGGGATTTAAATGACAGGTCCTGATCAAAAACAACACCAAGATATTTTTACTTTATTATCTGAAAAAAAATCTGATCACTTTATTATCACTGGGCTCACAGCAAAGTTCTCCTGTCATCCAGGAATCAGCCGAACCATTGCACTGGTTGAAATGAACTTTTGGTGGCCATCATTATACGAGGATATCCAAGCCTGTCCAGTTTGTGCCCATAATAAATCCCGTCAACTCCCAGTGGTCTTCTTCAACCTTTGGCTGTTCCATAGCGCCCCTGGTGGCACATTGCTTACATTTTGTTAGGGGTTTGCCTCCATTAAAGGGTTTCACCTCTATACTCACATGACTGGCCTTTCTCCATCTTCCCTCTTCAAAGACTCTCCTCAACCTTCAAGCAGCTCAGTTACTAACCCAACATGTTTTTGGTCTCCACGGCATTCCTCTCTCCTCTGTGGGGAAAGCCACGAACGCTACACACAATGTTTACAAAACGAAATGTCATTTAGCACAGCTTTTGAGACATTAAAGGAACATTTCCATCCATAAAGTGCAGCAGTGATCAAATGAAAAAACATGGTGCAGAAAAAACCCACATTGATATGGAAAAATAGCCGTGTCTGTATCTGTAGAAAATGGTAGATCCAGTTACCAGCAGGCAGTGGAAACTGCTGCAGAAAACATGTGAGCATCTTCCACTTTTCACAATTGCTTTCATTGCGATGGCCTAGATTCAACACAATGCGCCCCGGGCAGCGGATCTCATCACACCCAGCTAAATGGCACATATTGAATTCTGCTGGTGGGCAACCTGAGCTGATGGAGCTAAACGGCGAGTCTTTGACCAGACAGGAGGGGAGGCTGTGAGGATCAGAGGACTGATCAGGCTGCAGATCTGAGATGGGTGCCGGTGGCTAATCGAGCCAATTGTTCTTTTCACAGATGGTAACCAGAAACGCCTCCCTGCAGCACAGGCATGGAAAGGAGAGCTAGGCGCTGACATTTACAGGCCTGCTCTACTAATCTCATTTTTCCAAATCTGATGTGATGAGAGGAAACTGATGGGAGCTGTCCGGGTGCTGAAATGCTCACCCCTGATGGGTCTACTGTTGAATGTGTGATTATTCATTCATTCATTGGATAAAACTATTATTATTTGGATTATCATCATTACGTGTTAAAGTGACTATTCTAAGTAGTTATCAGTAACTGACCCATACCATCGGACAGAACAGACCGCTTTAAAACCCCTTGAAACGGCAGGAAGGGAATGTGCTGACAGGAGCATGAACAGCATGGTGTTAAACATGCATGGAAGCAGGCTTTCATACCCGCCCCATAAACAAATGATCTCACTACAGCCTGCACAGCCTCTGCTGAATGAGCTGCAATAAACAAGCCTTCTCTAAACCATTCCTAAGGAATGATGAGCTTTATAACGAAGGATTGATCCGGAGCAGCAACAAACCCTAAAACATCTCTATGGTTCTGAGAACAGTGATTATTCAACTGATATTTCCTTTATAGCCAATCAGATTCCCCACTGACTCCCATGTGTGGTGAGTGGAGCGACGGCAGTCAGACTGTACTGAGATTAGACGCCATCAGATTCAGTCATCGCCTTGTTTGCCCTGAGCTCCTGATGGAGGCATGACTGGGATGATTTATGCTGTTAGCTATAAACTCATGGATGGACTAATTCTTGCTCCAAACTATAAAAGAAGCACCAACCATCCAACCACCACCTGCTGTAAACCTATTGGAGTAAGAATGAGGTCCAGAGCTGCTGTGAGTTTTAAACCTCACTGTGATCTTCATGATGCTCTCTTCCTCCTGACAGTGGCAGTGGACGGTTCGTTACGTGTGGACTGGAGCCCGTCCAGCTCCATGTCTGATGCCAGGCTCTTAGGGAGCACCAGGACCTGCATGGTGCGCAGGCTGATACTGGGTGCACCTTTGGGGGCTGTGGATCTCAGCAAGGTGCCCTGAATTCTCTTTATTCTCTCTGTGGTTCTGTGGACCTGCGATGGCAGCTCATTTAAGCCAAGGGGAGGCAGTTCTCTCAACTTCTTGATGTTTTGGCTCAATAATCTCCACATACTTTCTGTTTTGATTTTTATTAACAAAAAGACATTTATGATGTAGAAAAATACAAAAACATTGTTTCAACATTAGGCAAATTAAAATCTAAGCCGTGTTTAGATCCATCGGAGGAACAGTTTGTTTCCCTGCAGAGGAAAAGCATCCCCACAACATGATTCAACCTCCACCATGTTTAACATGATGAAACCTACAGAAGGTCAATGGGTGGAAGGTCACATGCTGAAGCAGCAGCACCAACCCCCGGTGTTAGGGTTCGGGTTAGCCCTGATCAGAGAGGACCGTCTCTCTGTGGGAAACCATGTGAAATGGAAAATTATTTTAAGAGGTTTTAAGCTGAATCATTACCCGATTAATCAAAGCATCCAAGTTTGTAAAATGTGTTTTAGCCCCAATAACATTTTCTTGTTATTAGTAGATTTCTAGCTGTTATTTCCATTGAGCTTAAGTAACAAGTATTTGTTTAATAAGATTAAAGCAGCTGTTGGTTAGAAGTCTTTTCTTTTCCATATATGGGTAGAAATAAAATCTTTGGAGTCATAAACTGGACCACAGGCCAGCAGGGAAACAGGTTGGTTTCCTGGTCTCTGATTTACAGGTTTGATTACATCAGCCTCTGAAAATAACTCCATGAAATAAAGACTTTTTGTAGGAAACTAAACGTTTGGTAGACGAACAGAAAGATAAAAAAACTGATGGATGGATGGATGGATGATGGATGGATGGATGGATGGATGGATGGATGGATGGATGGATGACGGTTGGATGACATTGGATGACAATTGGACTTTGGATGGATGATGGTTGGATGATGGTTGGATGACAGTTGGATGATAGTTGGATGATGTTTGATGATGGTTGGATGGATGATGGTTGGATGATGGTTGGATGACAGTTGGATGATGGTTGGAGGATGGTTGGATGATGGTTGGATGATGGTTGGATGATGGTTGGATGACGGTTGGATGGCAGTTGGATGGCGGTTGGATGGATGATGGTTGGATGGCGGTTGGATGGATGATGGTTGGATGGCGGTTGGATGGATGATGGTTGGATGGCGGTTGGATGGCATTTGGATGGCGGTTGGATGACGGTTGGATGGCAGTTGGATGGCGGTTGGATGACGGTTGGATGGCGGTTGAATGGATGACGGATGGATGGCGGTTGGATGACGGTTGGATGGCAGTTGGATGGCAGTTGGATGACAGTTGGATGGCGGTTGGATGATGGTTGAATGGCGGTTGGATGACGGTTGGATGGCGGTTGGATGGCAGTTGGATGATGGTTGGATGGCGGTTGGATGACAGTTGGATGGATGATGGTTGGATGGCAGTTGAATGGCGGTTGGATGATGGTTGAATGGCGGTTGGATGACGGTTGGATGGCGGTTGGATGGCAGTTGGATGATGGTTGGATGGCGGTTGGATGACAGTTGGATGGATGATGGTTGGATGGCAGTTGAATGGCGGTTGGATGACGGTTGGATGGCGGTTGGATGGCAGTTGGATGATGGTTGGATGGCGGTTGGATGACAGTTGGATGGATGATGGTTGGATGGCAGTTGGATGGCGTTTGGATGGCGGTTGGATGGCGGTTGGATGACGGTTGGATGATGGTTGGATGACAGTTGGATGGCGGTTGGATGGATGATGGTTGGATGGCAGTTGGATGGCGGTTGGATGGATGACGGATGGATGGCGGTTGGATGGCGGTTGGATGGCTGTTGGATGACGGTTGGATGGCGGTTGGATGGCGGTTGGATAGATGACGGATGGATGGCGGTTGGATGGCGGTTGGATGGCTGTTGAATGACGGTTGGATGGCGGTTGGATGGTGGTTGGATGGCGGTTGGATGGTGGTTGGATGGCGGTTGGATGGAGGAGGAGCCAGCAGCCAGCTGAGGATCCAAAGCTTCCATTTCCAGCGTGTTTCCTGCTGATCTGCTGATGGTGTGAATCGCCATCAGCACATCGGCCACACACGCACGCAGAGGGATATCACCACGGCGACTGGTTGCCATAGAAATGTTCCAATTGTGGAAAAGTTGAGAAAGGAGGGGAAGGCAGTGGAGAATAGAGATGCTGTGATTATTTTCCCCAGCAGAGACCTGCAGGCAGGCAGCCTCCATGGCCGCCCTGCTCCACCAGGAAGGAGGAGAGAGATCAGCATCTCCTAAACTCTGGGAAGAGATTCTCCCAGAAATATTCACCCTAAAAATGTTTAAAATGTTTCAGCAGCTGACTGCTGATGAAACGTCGTCAGAGCAACTCGGCACAGAACCCCCTCCACCCTGATGGAATACTCTCCACCCGAGTCTGTGGGTCCCTGCAGCTCCTCTCCAGCTACAGCAGATTCTACCCATTATACCTCTGTCATTTTGCTCTGGGGGGGGTCTCATGTCTTTGCTCACTCTGCGGTTCAGTAGCACAGTGGGGGAAGGGAAGGTGGGGGGTCTGAGGAAAGATGGTGGTGTTCCGTTAGAACGGAATAGAACTGGGAGCTTCTATATCCAAAGTCTGTGTTCTGGACCGGATTTTCTTCTGATGATGGATGGATTCCAACCCCACAGTGATGGAGCTGCTTCTCCAGCTCCGCTCCGGTGAACCCGGATGGAAAACCCGGAAAACATCATGCAGAGCGGAACAGATCCTCCTCAAACTTTGTGTCACATCTCTTCCAGATTATCCATCCTCCTCCTGCTCTGCGGCTCAGGAGGATTATCCCGCCTCCATGAAAGTAGATCCCAGATCCGTTTGTTATTCCGGCCACTCTTTGTTGTTCTTAGGAGGAAAAGGTCAAAGTCTGGGCGGAGCCTCTGATGACCTGAGTTCATTTCTGCCGTCTGATATCTGCAGAGGAAATGCGGTTTATTTTCACTAGTGACAATTAATGAGAGGAAGGAAGAAGCTTAAACTCCAAAACTAAAACAGTTAGAAACTAAAGCAGTTTGAAACTAAAACGGTTTAAAACTAAAACAGTTTAAAACTAAAACAGTTTGAAACCAGAACAGTTTAAAACTAAAACAGTTTGAAACTAAAACAGTTTGAAACTAAAACAGTTTGAAACCAGAACAGTTTGAAACTAAAACGGTTTAAAACTAAAACAGTTTAAAACTAAAACAGTTTGAAACCAGAACAGTTTAAAACTAAAACAGTTTGAAACTAAAACAGTTTAAAACTAAAACAGTTTAAAACTAAAACAGTTTGAAACCAGAACAGTTTAAAACTAAAACAGTTAGAAACTAAAACAGTTTGAAACTAAAACAGTTTGAAACTAAAACGGTTTAAAACTAAAAAAGTTTAAAACTAAAACAGTTTGAAACCAGAACAGTTTAAAACTAAAACAGTTTGAAACTAAAACAGTTTAAAACTAAAACAGTTTAAAACTAAAACAGTTTGAAACCAGAACAGTTTAAAACTAAAACAGTTAGAAACTAAAACAGTTTGAAACTAAAACAGTTTGAAACTAAAACAGTTTAAAACTAAAACAGTTTGAAACCAGAACAGTTTAAAACTAAAACAGTTTGAAACTAAAACAGTTTGAAACTAAAACAGTTTAAAACTAGAACAATTTGAAACTAAAACAGTTTAAAACTAAAACAGTTTGAAACTAAAACAGTTTAAAACTAAAACAGTTTGAAACTAAAACAGTTTGAAACTAAAACAGTTTAAAACTAAAACAGTTTGAAACTACAACAGTTTAAAACAAACAGTTTGAAACTAAAACAGTTTGAAACTAAAACAGTTTAAAACTAAAACAATTTGAAACTAAAACAGTTTAAAACTAAAACTGTTTGAAACTAAAACAGTTTGAAACCAAAACAGTTTGAAACTAAAACAGTTTGGAACTAAAACAGTTTGAAACTAAAACAGTTTGAAACTAAAACAGTTTAAAACTAAAACAATTTGAAACTAAAACAGTTTAAAACTAAAACTGTTTGAAACTAAAACAGTTTGAAACCAAAACAGTTTGAAACTAAAACAGTTTGGAACTAAAACAGTTTGAAACTAAAACAGTTTGAAACTAAAACAGTTTAAAACTAAAACAATTTGAAACTAAAACAGTTTAAAACAAACAGTTTGAAACTAAAACAGTTTGAAACTAAAACAGTTTGAAACTAAAACAGTTTACAACTAAAACAATTTGAAACTAAAACAGTTTAAAACTAAAACTGTTTGAAACTAAAACAGTTTGAAACCAAAACAGTTTGAAACTAAAACAGTTTGGAACTAAAACAGTTTAAAACTAAAACAGTTTAAAACTAAAACAGTTTGAAACCAAAACAGTTTGAAACTAAAACAGTTTGAAACTAAAACACTTTAAAACTAAAACAGTTTGAAACCAAAACAGTTTGAAACTAAAACTGTTTAAAACTAAAACAGTTTAAAACTAAAACAGTTTGAAACTAAAACAGTTTGAAACTAAAACAGTTTGAAACTAAAACAGTTTGAAACTAAAACAGTTTGAAACTAGAACAGTTTGAAACTAAAACAGTTTGAAACTAAAACAGTTTAAAACTAAAACAGTTTGAAACCAGAACAGTTTAAAACTAAAACAGTTTGAAACTAAAACAGTTTGAAACTAAAACAGTTTAAAACTAAAACAATTTGAAACTAAAACAGTTTAAAACTAAAACAGTTTGAAACTAAAACAGTTTAAAACTAAAACAGTTTGAAACTAAAACAGTTTGAAACTAAAACAGTTTAAAACTAAAACAGTTTGAAACTAGAACAGTTTAAAACAAACAGTTTGAAACTAAAACAGTTTGAAACTAAAACAGTTTGAAACTAAAACAGTTTAAAACTAAAACAATTTGAAACTAAAACAGTTTGAAACTAAAACTGTTTGAAACTAAAACAGTTTGAAACCAAAAACAGTTT